ACGCAGAAAAGAGCTGGCACTTTCTGAGTGCTCCTACATCCCATCCACTTTATGTAAGGCACTTTACATTTTCCTTCACTCATCAATCAACAAAACTTTATTGAGCACCTACTACAAGTCAGGCACTGCTAGGTGCTGGGGATACAAAACAAAACGAATAGCGTAAGTCAAAACTCCCTGCTGAGGAGCTTACAGTCTAGTGGAAGACACAGAAAATCATGAAAAAATATATATATATTGCACATTAGAGAAAGATAACTCTAAGAAGAAACAGTAAGAAACATGGAAGAAAGTATGAAGTTAGTGGGAGAGTTCCAGTGGTAGAGACAAAAAACAAGACAAACAAGAAAACTATACAATACACTAGAGAAAGATAAGCCAAAAGAAAAACATAAACACGAGGGGATTTGGGATGATCTGGTGGAATGCTGAGATTTTAAACACACAGTGTAGAGGGAAGAGATACGGGAACATATGTATATGTGTAACTGATTCACTTTGTAATGAAGCAGAAACTAACACACCATTGTGAAGCAATTATACTCCAATAAAGATGTAAAAAAAAAAAAGTAATAATAATAATAAATAAACACACAGTGTAGCCAGGGAAGGCCTTCCTGAGAGAAAGACTCTCGAGTGGGGACCTGAAGGCCATGAACGAAGTATCCATTCAGGCATCTGGCGGGGAGAACACACCAGGCAGAGGGAGGGCAAGTACCCTGAGGTGGGCATGTACCTGGCAGACCTGCAGAGCAGGGAGGAGACCGATCTGTCGGTCAGGAGAGAGCAGCGCAGATGAGGCCAGAGATGGGGGCGGGGTGAGGGGGTCAGAGAGATCACGGTTAGGCTTTTGGCAGTTACTCTGAGGCGCGTGCAACAGGACCGACTGTGGGGACGGGGCCGAAGCAGGAAAAGCAGCTGGGATGCTACTGCAAGAACAGAGGCAAGAGGCGACAGCGGCCAAGCCGTGAGGATGCCCAGAAGTGGCAGAATTCTGGATCACGTCGAGGCAAGAACACAAGAACAAGCAAGAACATTTGCTAGAGGACCATCTGCAGGGTGTGAGCAAGACAGTCAGGAGTGACTCGAAGTTTCTGACCCGAGCGCCTGAAAAGGAGCTGCATTTACTGAGACGGCCTCGGCAAACTACGGCCGCGGGCCGAATCCAGCCTGCTTCCTGTTTCGTAACAGCTGGGGGTTAAGAATGGTTTTGACATGTTTCAAGGTTCGTGAAAACAAACAAACTAACTAAAACAAAGAAGAATATGCAGCGGAAGCCCTAGGTGGCACTCAAAACCTAAAAAAGGTACTGTGTCTTTGGAGAGTCTGGTGGCCCCTGGACCACGGGAGACGCACATGCGAAGTCTGAGGGGTCTTCCAGACACAGGCACAGATTCTGAGTGGGCAGCGGCAGACGCAGGGCTGAAGGCTGGGGGCGAGGACGGGGCTGGAAGCCTTCACGTAAACGGTGTGTAAAGCCATGAGGCAGAGAGGATCACCTAGAGTGAGGGTGCAGAGGGAAGGGTCCTCGCATGGAGCCCTGCGGCCTGGCAAGATGTAGAGGTTAGAGCTGAGGGGGCATCAGGAAAGGAGACTGAGGGGCGGCCAGAAGCATGGGAAGAAGTCCAGACGAGGGGGGCGCGGCGCCTGCCCTTCCAACCTCGCAGCCACTAGGCGAGGGGGGTATAATTATCCCCACTTCACTGAGGAGGAGACTGAGGCTCAGAGAAGTCACTCAGCCGAGGCCACCCTACCAGGCAGTGGCAGGGGAGACTCAAGCCTCCCCAGCTCTGCCTACTTGACGTAGCTTCTCTGAGGAGC